GGGGGGGTAGTTTAGGTAATTGGTTGAGGGAATCTCTCAAATAACTGCCTAGGAAGCTTCCTAGAAGCTAGGACTGGGACTTATATGAAATGCTGATTCTAAAACTGAGGACATGAGAGCAAAAATGAAAATTCAAAAAGGGTTCAAGTGCAAAACTGAACCCATTCTTTGCTGCCCTAGTGGCTTGCCTATAAAGGCAGCTTTATTGCCTTTCAAGTCAGACCTAAGAGACGAGAAGGGTTAAATAAAAAATTCCGAAAAAAACCAAAACAACTGAAAATTACTGTTGCATTGAAACTCTGATTAGAACTTTTAAAGTTTGTTTTTTTTACTGCTGAAGAATACCTGATCCTATTTGAGGTTCAAAATAGTTTGAACATTGGGTAATGAAAGCCTTGCTTTGAGTTGGGGAATTGGTTTCTCTCTTCTGGACTGATTTTGTTGCTGGTTTTGTTGAATCTAGGTGAATTTCTATTACCGCTGACTGCTGACTTTGCATCTCCGCTATCCGTCATTTATTTCCAGGTATATCCATAGCCCAGAAGCACTGACATAATGCTGATCATGTAAATCGAGTGGGAATTCCATGGAATACAAGTTGTGTTTGATCTAGTTTTTCTCTGATTTTTACTGTCTAATACCATGTAGTATATCTGTGTTGTTGGTTGTTAATTGAGTTGTCACTGGTATAGTATAAAATTGGATTTGTGTTTGGAACTAAAGGTTCAATTTCAATTTTAAAGAGCATGTTTGGAAGGTGTATGAATAGGTTTTGTGGGTGTTGTTCAGTATGACAGGTGAATTATGGATTTATTTGCGTAGCTTCATGTCTGCTTTGTATTATGGGTCATAGTTTGCTAAAATGCAGCAGGTTTTAGTGTTTTGAAGGGCTAGAATATAGATGCTGGCTTGTATATGTATTAATTCATGCAAATACTATTTTGGTAAACACGACTACTGCAAGTTTAAAGTTCAAGATTCATGTTTGTTCAATAGGACACTTCACAGATTTCCTTCTACCATCTCGTCTAGATTAAACCAGCTTTCGAGCAAAATGATTGTTTTTTTATTGATTCCATGTCATGATAAACCAATGTTTGATATGGGGGGCATTTGATTGAGCTAGTTATCCGTCATTCCCTGTTAAGATAGTATGTGTTTGTGATCGGATGTAACATGGATTTCACTTCATGATTGGTTCGCTCTTCATTCGTTAATTTTGCTGCCTTGCCTCTTCTAACTTTCACGTTAATTCGATTTGGAGGAACACAATATGTTTGTCATACTATAGAGCTCGGTTTTGGGCCCAGTTCTTGTTAGCCCAACTTAGCCCAATTCCAAATGTAGAGATCTTGGAATGCCATTTGGGAGGGAAATATTTATTTTGCACTTAAATAGATCAAGACCATAATTTAACTGAGGAGAGCCATGATAGATGAACGACTAGCTCATGGCCCTCACGAGTTAGCATCAAAACCTGCTAAGATGGCACGACCCTCATTTTATTTTAAGTTTGGCTCAATCCTTATAATTCGAGCCTTGCCTTTTAGCTAAATTCCATGGCCCTCGCAAAGTTAAAAACACGTAGTTACATTAGGCGCGTTATTTTAATAATATTACTTTCCCAAACTCGGGGTGCATTTCATGTGGCGCGGTCCAAAGACATGTTTTATACGACGTTAAATTTTCTTTAAAATAAATAAAAGCGATTTTAAGTTAAAAATGTATCATAGGCTAAAACATGTATTAAAATCAGATAATTAAGCCGAATATAACAGTTAAGCGACCGTGCTAGAACCACGGAACTCGGCAATGCCTAACACCTTCTCCCAGGTTAACAGAATTCCTTATTCGGATTTCTGGTTCGCGAATTGTTAAACAGAGTCAATCCTTTCCTCGATTCGGGATCTGAACCGGTTACTTGGGACACCATAAATTATCCCAAGTGGCGACTCTGAATTTTAAATAAAATAATCCCGTTTCGATTGTCACTTCAAGTTGGAAAAAAACTGCCTTATACATTCGGGTGTGTAAAAAGGAGGTGTGATAGCTCTGGCGACTCTGCTGGGGACCGAACCCAGAATCTCTGGTTCAGGATTCAAGAATTCGAGCTTAGAATAATTGTTATAGTTGGCTTTATCCATTATCTGAATTTGTTACATGATTTGGGCCTAAGGTGCTAATTGATTGCTTTTTCCGCTTTGATATTCCGTGAACTGTATATAAACTGTTGTGTAATCCCTCTTCTCTCTAAGTCTTCTAAATCATGAAGAAGTGTGCACTTCGTGCAACTTCTTTTCTGTTAGAGTCATATTCCAATTTTAGAACGAGGTTCGGACAAGTTGCAAAGCCGGTAAAGCTTCTGTATTCCCGGTACGCTGCCCC